TTTCGTTCATTATTCAATGAGGAAGAGCACGAAAACATGTGCTCTTTTCAAAACAAAATACATGGTTCGATTCGCTATAGTACTCTGAGTACACCTAAATAACGTTGAGAAGGTCATATTTCACTTAGTAAGTGGAAAAAGCTCTTCGAATTATTCGAAGAGCTTTTTCCTATATGTGGTTCCTATATGGTTGTCATATTCTCAACATTTTTCCTTTCTTTCATTCAGATATTTATTGTTCCTTGAATTTAACAATTTAGGTGTTACACAAAAGATTCGGTAGCCGTACACAGTTTATAGAAAAGTCAAATAATAATACAATTAAAAGTTTGATATATTATTGAATTTAATCTCTTTTCTTTTGTACTGAACATGTATGTGAAATGTGACAAGAATTAGAATGTTCAGCCAGTGGGCTCGATCCTCCATTACTATTTATCTTTTCTTTTCTTATGAACTGGTTTTTTTCCCTGCATCGTATTATTTATTTTTTCCCATGAGTTTTGTTTAATTCTCTCTTTTCTCTTTTTTTGCTTTATTTTCAATTTTGATTTATGGCGGCCAAGATTCAAAATATCAACAGAAGAATTCATATTCGGAGCCACAGAATTTCGGTAAAATCCATACTGGGGTTCATACGTCATTAAAAAGAAATCTCGACATATTCAGTCAACTATGATTTTAGCCAGAAGTTACATCCTTTTCGAGTTTCTTCAGATTTACCACAGGAGTAAAAAAGTCTATCGTGGTATTCGACGAAACGATTTTAGTTGGTAGTATATCAAACTACCAATTAACCTCGGTTAACCGTCCGGTTAACCGCAATTAACCGCAAACCGGCACAAAATGCTCGGTTAACCGCGGTTAATTGACGGCTTTTTTGCTGAGCAAGCGGTATCAGTACAAATGCTCCTCTGCACATTTTTCTTTTGAGTATTGAACTTTCATGGGTTCCATAGCAGTAAAACTGTCGGTTAGTCACAGTCCCATACCGGTGAAGTTTTGGACTGAGCAGTACCTATCTGCTTGCCAGGACTCTTAGACGCAGTCTGAAAGATATTTAGACTAAGTCGAAATTCACACGTCAAGAAGTCATGGAAAAAATTCTGAAGTTTTTCGATAAATCATGTTGTCCTTATCAGAGATGCGCGGGACAAGCTTTTTTGACGTCTCGTCCCATACTATTTTTTCGCTGTTATTTTTGATACCGTACTGTATGAAATAAATAAAGTTTATATCTGACAAGATAAAAAACGAGATGCCAACTACGCTCCACGAAGACTGGAAGCCGACTGAGTGAAACGCGAATGCAGCCAGTTAGCTTCTACCTATGGCAGTACAGTGGATATAACTCTTAGTAAACTGCTATATATGTTTTCTCTTTTAGAAAAAAAATATGTTTCGAATTTTATTCAGCTACATTTATCTGCTACAGCATATTATTCACATTATCATATCAGCTGATCATTATCCTATCATGCATTCTGCTATAGCTTTCATCGTATCAAGTATAGATTCACTACGCAGGATATCACGTGACAATTAATTATCTGATAGGAGAAACGACAGAGTTTTCTGAAAAATATATTCATTTTGTGGCACTAATTATAGGGTAGCTAAAGCAAATATCCGAAAAGTAACTTCAGTTCGGTCATGTACGTTGCTTCTACTTTCAAATCATCTTTTTCTCAAATCTGTACGACCAGAGATAATTGGGTGGAAAAATCGACCAAAACTGCAGAGAAAGAAAGAAAGAACACATGACTCAAAGTGAAAAGCAATAAGCCAACTAAAACATTCTATTTATTGCTGCTGAACTATAATTAATGAAGTGATGACGTCATTGCTTAGAATATTGTTTTGGCGTAGCAAAGTTGCATCTCCTCCCAGAGACGCGCGGGACCAGGTTTTTTGACGTCCCGTCTCGTAAGGACTTCGTCTCGTCAAAAAAATGTTCGAACCTGTCCCATCCCGTACCGTCTCGACGGGACGGGTTGAGACGAGACTGTACCGCGCATCTCTGGTCCTTATATACATGTAGTGACCACAAACCAAAACGGGGATTGAAAAAGAAACGGTTAACCGTCGGTTCTTCGAAATAACGCGGTCAATTGGCGGTTAATTTTTCAAACCGCGGTATCAAAAATACCGACGGTTAACCGCGATTAATTGACGATTTATAGCGAACCGCGGTGAATTGGCGGTTATTCGGTGAACCGCGGTTAACCGACGGCTTTCTATAAAAATAGACGGCATGGGAAGGATATATTGATATCCTTTGGCTTTTTTTACGTTTTTTAAAAGACCTAATATATTTTATTACAATTGAAAAATACTTTAGTAAAATCATTTTTACAACATGCGAGCGTTCAGTGCTACTAGTATCCTCATTATGCAGAATTTTAGCTAAACTAAACTTGTGGAGAGAGACTACAAAAGGATTATTTTTCTTTTTATCAATTTTAATGGCAAATTAATGCCTATGAATATTTGATACTTTTCCTTTTCTCTTTCCTTTTTTCATGTGAATGTTACTGTTCTTAAGGATATTTCATTGTAAGCTAGCGCTTTATGCGTTATGAACAATGTATTGTCCCGAACTTGTTTCATATGTTAATCAGTTCTCAATTTCAATATCAAATTGTTTGTCTGTATTCGATCATTCATCATTTATCTCTATTCACATTTGATTTTAAGAAGGGTATGTATTTTTTTGATCACCAAAAATGTTCGTTTTGATCACCAAATTTCTTTCCATCGAAATGATCACCAAAAATAACACTTTTGATCACCAAATTAATTAACGAAAAGTAAATGAAAAAATCTCCCATTTTGGAAGCCAATTAATTAAGTGACAAATATAGATTTTCTTCCTTTTAAGTACAAAACGCAGTACAATTAAGTATTTTTATTCATGAAGTCGTAAAAAAGAAAAGAAAAGAAAAGTGTTGACAGAATATAATTTCAAGCGTCCTTTCTTCTATCAACTTCAAAACTATACTTATACTCTTGGCATCATGACTAAAGCGGTTAGTAGAATGTTGTTTTCTTACTCACTCTCAATACCCACTTGCCGCCCCTACCAGCTCGTATGAGCAAGATGTACCACAGAAGAGTTGCACTACGCATTGAACGAGAAAAGAAGAACGATTGCATATGTTTCTTACTGTTGATTACTTAGAAGGCAATAAATCTATATTTCTCTGTTAGTTAATTGGCTTGCAAAATGGAAGATTTTTTCATTTACTTTTCGTTAATTTATTTGGTGATCAAAAGTGTTATTTTTAGTGATCATTTCGATAGAAAGAAATTTGGTGATCAAAACACATTTTCCCCTTTTAAGTGTCCACTATCGAGAGATTATTTAATTTTCTATCTACAGAAACTGGCAAAAGGATATTCACTTTAGAGAGATTTTACTATAATTCTAAAACGTTCATGTTCAAAATGTTTGACGAGTATAAAATACATTTTCTTCTATACACTTACATCTAATTTGTTATTGATAATCATTTTTGTTGAGCAGACTCCATATGTTAGTTTTGATAAATTATTTACTAAATTTTTAATACGATTTTGAAGATAAAATAAACTTTTATAATATTTGATAATAGTTGATTCAAATTGTTCAACATCAATAGTAAACAATGGATATTGTTGTTGTATTTTTTGTATAATAGAATTTTGTAAGACAAACATTTTTGATATAAACAAATGATCATAATTAATAATTAATTCATAACCTTCATTTTCTAATAAATTACATTTATATAAAAGGTTCAGTTGTTCTATCTGACTGATATTGGATGTATTTATAATTTTTCGAACATTATTTACATTATTATGAAAAATTAATTGTAAATCTTTTATCTCATTTGGAATATTATTAATTCGTTGTTCATGTTCTTGTAAATGTTTTAAATTTCGTTGATGATTATGTTCATTTAAATGTTGAATACAAAATAAATCTGAACAATAATTACATTCTATTTTTGTCTTACCAATACATGATATATATGTATCACATAAATTTCTATTGTTATTAATAGTAGAACAAGACATTATAAAATTATCTAAAATATCAAATTAGATATTTTATTATATTTTTATAATCACAAATAAAATGAAATATAGTAATAAGATTAGACGAGAAAATAAATAATATTATTAAAATGAATTACTTTTTATTCACATTGATCCACTGGAACAGTTTTGATCTATTGAAATGCAATAAAAAAAAATTACATACACACATATATATAACAGTAGGGTTTTTTTTTTTGTCAAATTATTTATAGTTTTATGTATGGGTGGGTCAGAGAGAGAGAGAGAGAGAGAGAGAGAGAAAGAGCGGTTACCGTTCTTGCCTCTGAAAAAAAAAATTATTTGTATTTTGTGGTGATGTGATATAAAAATAGAGAAAGAAAAACAAAACCTGTGTGTACGGGTAGCATATAGAAAAAAGAGGTTGTTGTAAGGAAGATAGAGAAAGGGAGAAATGTTTGCATCCTTCATCTCTAACATTGATGCCAAAAACAAAGTGATTAGTTATTAAGATATATATATTACTCTGCACAATTATTATCTATAAAAGAAACAAATGTGTTTCTTCAAGTTATTATGTCGTTCGACTCTATCAAATGTATAGTGTTCGATGCTTTTTTTTTTTTTGGTATAGGCAACACACACCCCCAAAAAAAAGCATCACTTTTTTCTAACAAAGGTATGTATGCATACATACCTTTGTTAGAAAAAAATTATCAAAAAATTAAATATATTCTTTTAAAATAATTGTTTATTGAAAACAAAAATATCTCCTATAGTTTTTATTTGAAAAAAATACAATTCTCATGTAGAAAAATTCGGATATCAATCGTTTTTGATTTACTTTATCACACACATGTTTTCATTACAAATATTCAAACTATTACTGTAGTATAAATACAAGAACAATGAAATATTACATCATGTTTTTTTTTTTGAAACGTGATTTTGTTTCAATAGGAGAAGAAAGACAGACAGACGTATAAAAAGAAAAGATCACGATGCAGAGTTTTGTCAATGCTATAGAATTGAAAGATATAAGAGTTATATGAAACGAAAAAGGGTTGAAAAAAAGACCATTATTCTAGAAGAAAGCACAGTTGATGAAATACGATTAAAGAAAGACGAAATAACGTCTTCTACTAATCATTTCTAAGAAAGAAAAGAAGACACATAGGCTTATGGAAGGTCATCGTATTATTTTATTTATGATTTGATTGCCAACAGCAACTTATCTTGACGTCACCGCACTCAAACGAATGGAACGAAGAAAAAGAAAAAAAACTTCTTTAATAAAAACAACAACAATCAATGTAATCTTTTTCTATTTTATTATTTGTGTAGAAGCACGTTATTTTCAGTATTGAAAAAAAGTGATGATTTTTGTTTCAACAAAATAAATCAGAGTTTGCATATCTTACAGTGAATGCAGTCGAGTGAAACTTCCACAAAAATGTGTATCGCTTTCTTCATACTTTCTTTTATTTAACAACATACTATTTGAAATGGTTAATTTATGGTTTCGCCTGAAATTGACATTTATATCAGGTAGTGTTGTAGGGAATGATAAGTTGAGAGTTATTCTAATCAGCTGAATATGGAAAGTGAGTATGTTATGCATCAGGGCTTTTTCTTTTTCCACGTAATCATCTTTAATATCTCTAGATATGTCTATCCACATAAAAGAAAATTATTCACAAAGGACGGGAGCTAATATAAAGTGGAATCGGCCTTCTTGTGATTTTTAACGAAGAATGACAACCCTGTCATTTCTATTAAATATGAGAGTGAACAAGAACTTTTACTATGAAAGTTAAGAAACGTAGTTTTTTTAGCGACTAAACGCTCGGTAAAAACAACATTCAGAAAAAGCTTATCAGTGCAGACCTTGAGTCTAAAGTGTAACTCCTGTATTCAAACGCGAAGGACTAAGATGGGGCTGTATGAAACCCATGCCTCGAGTGTGTAATTCATGTCGAAAACCACTACTTTGTCCTTCGTCGCTTGCATCATATACCAGATCACTATGTAATCATTCACTCAATACACCAAAGACATCAAATCATATATGAACATGATCTCATAAGCTATTTAGGAATTTAGATAATCAACATGCAATAGCTTGTCCGTGTTAGCTTCAGAAAAAACTAGCGACAAACAAAGGCATGATAGAGTAAAGGCATGTAGTAGAATTTGCCAGGGATGAAGTACCACTACAATATACACTTCGATAACTACGATCATTCACTCAGAAGAAACATGTCGAAGACTGTGTCTTGATAGGTGAGTGGTAGAGCACTGGTCCTGTTAACCGATGTCCTCGATTCGATTCTCAGTCAAGACCTGTCATTCCTGTATGATTTCTGCTATTTTTTAATTGAAAAACGCTTTCTAATAATAAAGGAGTCGTTTCAACCTTTCTTCATCCCGTTTTTGGTAACAGAAACGAGCAATATCTTGGAAACGAAACGTATCTGCAAAAAAAAGGATAGAACTGATCGAGCTGAACAAGAACACATTTAAACTGAATAATATTTCTTGATTATCTTGAAAAGAAGCTACCATAGAAAAAGTGATGATGAAAAATCGCAACATTATAAACGTACCAGATTGTAATCAACAGCTCTCGATCAGATATACAATACTGCTGCGAAAGAACATTGAAACTATGAAAGTTTCAAACTTTTGTGAAATTTTTAGAAACAAGAGACATTTCTAACTATTATGAAGAACTATATTTTATTTGAGATAATCAAAACACGAAATAATCAGAAATTTCGTTCTATATGATCAGAACTGTCCAGATTTTAACAGCCATTTTAACAGTCAATCTAAATCTTAGCGGTTAAAGGAATTTACAACATTCGTACAGTTGTAAACTTGAGCGTGCATCGCTTTTTTTTATTACTTTGTTTCGTTGCGTAGAAAACTTGATGTTTTATTAAATCAACAGATTTTGACCTTGGAAGGAGACTACATTTTTCGATAAAACTATGAAGATTGAGTGAAAAATGGTCAAACATCGTACATATGGGTAGAAAATAATAGTGATTTCGATGGACACAAAATCGAGATCTCTAAGAGATAACTGGAAAATATTTTCTTAACCACTGAGACTTTTGGTAAATTCAAACAGAGTGGATTTTGTTCATCAACTGCCATGTATTGAGACAACAGTCTTGTTTAACATAAAAAGAATCTGAAACCAACAGAAACAAGAAAATCGAAACATTTAAAATTGTCAAACACTGTCGAAAAGAACTCAAAAATAAACAATTTATTATAAATTTGTATTTGTTATTTTTCAATGTGATGCAGTTTCTTGCTTGAACAGAATTGACTAAAGAAACAGTTTTAATACTTCAGTATATGTTGGTCCTACTTGATATGAACGAAGACATCTTAAAAATAGCCTAAAACGGTTTTCTATGGGTATCATATTCAACAAAATATATTCGTCATTGAACAGTTCAATTAATTATCGTCAATCGGATTCAATTCACAACGATATTTCGGTGAAAATACGACTTCGACTTTATATTTATTTCCGAACTGCGCAATTTTGAGTTCACCTGAAAAAGCAGAACGAGAGCTAGAGTCGTCTGCTTATTCGAGCCTCGTATCTCATGCTTTGAACGTTATAAATTTTTTAAAATGAAGTGAAACGATATTTCGAAAAGCGGCTGTTTTTTTAATCTAATTAGAATAAGATTAACTTGAACCGTATCGAGATAAGTTGTTCGATCATCGAACTAATTCCCCAAAAAATTCTCATTTCTAGAAAACGCAATACCAAGGCATGAACCTTTTTCTACGTGCTTATCGATGAATGTCGATGATCTCTCAAAGTTGCGAATTTTTCTGAAGACAGTGGATCTCGTTACATATGGAGAGCTTCTTCATTTCAGGAAGAAATGCTCTTCTTTTTTATCCAGTCATTTCCTGACATTAAAATGTTTTTTGCTACTACGTTGCATTAGTAAACCAAATTTTTTCTAAAAATGCGAATTTTTCGAAAGAACGTTGTAAATAGGCTTTAAATAATTTTAAAAAGACATTGATTAAAAATGATAAATAGAAAAAGAAGTTTTTACATTTAAAATTAAAGGACGGGGGCGATTACTTGATGAAATCGGCCCCTGCTTGAATTCCCTCGACACATACATGGTTAGATGCAGAATGAACAGGAGAACATTTCTAGCCACTCGGCAGACCTTAGAAATGCTCTCAGAAAAAACTAGGTCGAATTTATCGAAACCAAAGTTCTACTCTTCCTTCTTCAACCGTAAGGATTCTGTGCTCCACACTCGTCCACTAGCCACGACGATACATATACCATTCGATAGAGAATTTGCCGCGCTACAATTTCATATATACAAAGTAATGAGAAAAGTGTCCTGGTTCACCCTGACATTAGACATACTTTATGCAAAGACGTGGCAAGTGTGTGATTTATTCGCCGGTCAGGATTCTGTGCTCCACACTTGTCCACTAGCCACGACGATACATATACCATTCGATAGACAATTTCCTGCGCTACAATTTCATATATAAAAAGTAGTGAGAAAAGTGTCCTAGGGCACCCTGACATTAGAAATACTTTATGCAAAGACGTGGCAAGTGTGTGATTTATTCGCCGGTGAGGATTCTGTGCTCTACACTTGTCCACTAGCCACGACGATACATATACCATTCGATAGAGAATTTGCCGCGCTACAATTTCATGTATATGAAATAGTGACAAAAGTGTCCAAGGACACAGCTTGACATTAGAAAGACTGTTTGGAAAGCAATGAAAAGTGGGTGGCTTATTCCACGGTGACGATCCTGTGCTCCACACTTGTCCACTAACCACAACGATACATATACCATTCGATAGAGAATTCCCCATGCTACAATTTCATATATACAAAGTAGTAAGAAAAGTGTGCTAGGGCATCTTCACGTTAGAAATACTTTATGCAAACACGGAGCTAGTGGGTGATTTATTCAACGATGACGATCCTGTGCTCCACGTT